AACACGATTGAATGTGTGAGTCAAGTATCATCACAGAAAATTAAATATCTTTGAACAAATGTCATATTTTTTTAGGTACTCAATAAATTAGTTACATTGTAAATAGAAGTAATCCTGCAATTCTTGTAGCGGTTGTTCCAACCTGGCTAGGGTTAGTAAAAGTCACCGAGGTCGGGGAAACGAGCTGTTTCTACAGGTTCGGAGCATAGAAGGAGGAGGTTAGATGTTTAAAAGATATATTAAGAGGTCGTGCGACACTCGTTACATGCTGGAGATACGTTAAGAATGTCGGGGCCGAGTTTAGATTTGCCTATCTGTACACCGTCTTGTCCAGCAGTTCGGCCCCTACTAGATATCTCTGTTGTTGTTGTTGTTATAACCGCAAAATTATTCCCCAAAGTACTTTTTGGGGAATGTTGCGGGAGTGACAGTCCTTGGCCAGATAAAAATCCGGGTCGTTCCGGTATAAAGACCCGACTGTCGCGGGAACTATTGGATTTTAGTCGCCTCTTACGACAGGCATGCCTTACCGCGGGTAAATTCTTGAGCCCCTAACCCGCAGGGGTTAGCCGGTTCTACGTACCGGAGTTAACCCGAGTTTTATCCGGCTAAAGGCTGTAAACCTTTCGGACATCTAAACCCGGTTTAGGTCAATAGGTAACAGTCTCAAAGAGGTGATACTGTCTGCCAGCTATCGGACATAATAACGTGGCGCATTCATTCATTCATTACTTCTGTCATCTATTCTTGGCTTTCTAAGATTTCTTCAGCTATCTTCAGAAGTGTTGAAATTGTAGACAATACTGTTAATTGTTGATGAAGAAAAGTGAGGGAAGTTTACCTAAATACTAAGTTTTTCTTCCTACGCAACTTTAAGGTACGACTTTCTTTAAATCCTGTAAACGCGTGAGACATGTAGGTCTACAAAGCTTGCGTATGAAAATAACGATGTTAGAATGTACGTTTTCACTCATTAAGTCGTCTGACCTTACCGTTGGAACCTGACCAATAGCAGCTTAGCTTCATCTAATACCTTCGTAAATGTGATCGCCGTTCTTTCACGATAATTTTAGACAACAATTTCTAAAGGGCCCGAAGAGAGCTTTTAACAAAATATACCCGGTCTTGGGCTTTCATAAAAATATTTATTGAAACGAACTAAATGTGCCCTTCGCAGCAAAGTTGTGAAACCATCAGTTGAACATAACAAACGATTGCATGAAAATTTTCTATGAGCTCAAACTAGCCTGTCGCGTGCACGCCAGAACACATGTGGTAACATTCTCACAGAAGCGATAGTGGTCATAGAAGGGCGATTTGAGCGGGCAAAGAGTTATGAAGAGTGCCCAATAACAGAGTATGTAGGGAGATGGCGTTGTGGATACTGAATAAAACTCAAAAATGGTCATTAATTCAGTATTATTATATTTAGCATTATCCGCTAAGTACAATCATATAGACGACGTTTATAATCTCTGCACGGGAGGTTGTTGGGTGGTTGATGAGTGAGCGTTTCTATAATATTGCTACCCACTTGTTATTGTTGCATATTATGCGCCTGTTGAAATGAAGCAAAACACGCACAGGGATGTCATTGATTGCTGCACATACACAGATACATATGTAAATGGATACATGCTTCATAGAGACAGTAAGTTTATACACCAGGAAAATGTAACCAATCTCCTCTTGTTAATGATGAGTAATGCAAAAGTTAATTATTATGATAAAAAAAATGTTCATGTGTATGTAAGTATGCCAAATTTTTATTTTTAAGTATTCAAATTGCAATACTCAAATATGTTTACATAAATACGACAGTAAATGAAAACAAACTAAAAATAAAAACTATTTTCCTCTCTCATATATTACTGTAAGCCGAAGAGGTGGTGGGTTGGAAAAAAAGAGAGATTCGTATGAGCACTGAAGAGCAAATATCGAAGAGAACTAGCTTTGAATTATTTATCGGAGAATCGCACTTAAAAAATTGAGATTGTAGGTACATGAAAATACTTTGTAAAAGAAAAAAGAATAAACTTAAGTACACATATCTACATATACAATTTTTTTTTTAAACTTGTATGTTATTAAAAACAATCACTGCAAAAACTATATTTGCCAAGCAATTTAAGTTAAATGTTTTATCACCGTAAGCCAATACGAGCTGAGTTCCACAGGACTTTTCACAGCATCCTGTGTTCCCACTTTGTACTGTTACAATTTCACATTTTAAGCTTGAGCACATACGTGCATACTCGTAGCTCTACAGAATTCACTGCAATATATACATACAAATATGTGTATACATTTGTAATGTGCAAGGATGTGTCAGTGAATACACTTGTTGGTATGTATATACATACGTGTATGTAACGTATACACAGGTACGATTTTCACATGTACACACAAAATTAATATTTCACTGACTTTTAAGAGCTTAAAAGGATTTCACCGTTTTTATGTTCGATTTTATGAAAAATATGTATATAAGTATGTATGTATGTACATATATCCGGGAATATATAATTTTATTGTGGCTATTTCGGTCGAAAATCCCAGTTCACTTTGTTTTCAGCACTTTTCACGCGGCTAACGCCTGGACAGATGTAAATATTCGATATATTGAGTACCATCGAACGCACACACCCATCATAGAAAATCACATGCGTGCATCCAGATATTAATTTGGTATTATACACATACATGTTGTGTATTGGAAACTTTTTTTGGCAATTGCGTTTCAACCACAAATCACTAATCTAAACGCACTTCGCCCTATGCACATTTCAATTTCAATACTTTTGATATTTGCATGTGTACATCTTTAATAAATATGATTTTCGTAAATTTTAAAAGCCAAAAAGGCTTATGGCCAACTTTTTTTTATGAGTTATTTAGGTTGCTTTGGTGGTCGATTTTTCGTTAAATTTTACTTTTTGTATTTATATTTTAGTACGTAAGCCATTAAAAAGCAGTAGTTTTCGCGTTGTTTTAATATTTTACTCCGAAAAATAAAAGAAATTGTAAATGTTTTTTCGCCACATCCAACGCTGGAAATAAGGCTAAATTTTCGCTACGTCTCTACAACTACCACTACAGTGGATTCTTCTTCTTGACAAACTCGTTGCCTTCTTCTTCTTTCAATTGTCTGTTTTCAGCAATTCCTTCTTCTGCTTCAGCACTTTACTCTTCGATGTCCATTATTTAACAAATTCCGTATATATACATATGTATATGCGCATTCATCGCGCAACTAAACAGGGTTGTAATATTTAAGAAACCTGTAGCGGCAACAACAAGTGTCTCGAGATAGTAAAAAAACACACCTTACGATAAAGAGCTTTGTTGCCCCAATATCTGAGTACAATTACAATTACCACAACTACCTGCCACAAATTCAAAATTCACAACAAGCTAATACGTATTTGTATGTATTACAATAATTGTTTCATCATCGACTAGGAAACGTTTGGAAATTGAAAATTGGGGTTCTAATAAACATGAATTGCACTATAAATTTGTTTATATTGTAAGAGACGTTGTGAAAGATATTGAGCAAACACATGCCACATGCGCAGTGAATTCCAAGCACTCTCCCAAACTTTTGGTTTCTCTTTGAAATTATGAGCTCTTCTACCAATATACCATCGATGAAATTAAATTAAATAAATAAAAACCACAAAAACTGATCCGATTTTAATTTAATTTTATTGTTTTTATTTCATTTCATATTCTTTTTTTATTTTATTTTATTTTATTTTATTTTATTTTATTTTATTTTATTTTATTTTATTTTATTTTATTTTATTTTATTTTATTTTATTTTATTTTATTTTATTTTATTTTATTTTATTTTATTTTATTTTATTTTATTTTATTTTATTTTATTTTATTTTATTTTATTTTATTTTATTTTATTTTATTTTATTTTATTTTATTTTATTTTATTTTATTTTATTTTATTTTATTTTATTTTATTTTATTTTATTTTATTTTATTTTATTTTATTTTATTTTATTTTATTTTATTTTATTTTATTTTATTTTATTTTATTTTATTTTATTTTATTTTATTTTATTTTATTTTATTTTATTTTATTTTATTTTATTTTATTTTATTTTATTTTATTTTATTTTATTTTATTTTATTTTATTTTATTTTATTTTATTTTATTTTATTTTATTTTATTTTATTTTATTTTATTTTATTTTATTTTATTTTATTTTATTTTATTTTATTTTATTTTATTTTATTTTATTTTATTTTATTTTATTTTATTTTATTTTATTTTATTTTATTTTATTTTATTTTATTTTATTTTATTTTATTTTATTTTATTTTATTTTATTTTATTTTATTTTATTTTATTTTATTTTATTTTATTTTATTTTATTTTATTTTATTTTATTTTATTTTATTTTATTTTATTTTATTTTATTTTATTTTATTTTATTTTATTTTATTTTATTTTATTTTATTTTATTTTATTTTATTTTATTTTATTTTATTTTATTTTATTTTATTTTATTTTATTTTATTTTATTTTATTTTATTTTATTTTATTTTATTTTATTTTATTTTATTTTATTTTATTTTATTTTATTTTATTTTATTTTATTTTATTTTATTTTATTTTATTTTATTTTATTTTATTTTATTTTATTTTATTTTATTTTATTTTATTTTATTTTATTTTATTTTATTTTATTTTATTTTATTTTATTTTATTTTATTTTATTTTATTTTATTTTATTTTATTTTATTTGATTTTGTTTTGTTTTGTTTTGTTTTGTTTTGTATTTTAATATGAGTGCCCTTTAGAAGTTTAAAGACTCGCTTCTAAAAATTATTATAAATTGGAAAATAAAATTCGCAAAACGGGCTTAAAACGTTATGAAAAAAATTGCATTTCGAAGAGGCGATATGGTTTTATCGTCCTGATTTTGGGTGAAACTGTTTATGCAACCGGAAATGTAACTGTAAAATGTTCTGTCACTTACCGCAGCCATTTGTTGCCTTTGTTCAGATATCAGCTTTTCACTGGAGCCTTTCAATAATTCTGCCAACAGCTCCTGCGACGGCACCACATTGGAATTTTTGCCAGTTCCACTTTTGGCTTTAGCATTTCCCGTGGTCGCATCGAGGCTCCGTTTCGCCTGATGGGCGATGTGGGTATTGCCAGAGATAGTTTTTTCACCACCCATAGACTGACTGCGTTTGCTATGATGACTTTTTTGGACTGGCGCTTCAGATGCTGCTCGTTTTACCTCACGCTGATGATGAAGGTGGTGTGGATAATGATGACCCGCATCAAGATAATCCTTATCATCGCTGGTCATCGAGTTATCCAACGTGCTTTGATAACGTTTCTCATGGGCATTAATCTTCTCTAAACTACCAGCACCACCGCTTTTATTTACATTCTCCATCTGTGACGGCGTTGACGCGGCTCGCGTATGAGCAGGAACTGGCAGAAACGTATTTGACTTTCGAACTCGCATTGAATTCGAATGGTGTGGTATGTTGCGGGTGGGGTTTGTTTTAATGTTGTTGGAATCACCACAGGCAGCACGTAGTCGACGAGGTTGTGATGAACTGTGAAAAATCAATTATGAAAGAAGATACTGTGGGTGTCTCACAAATAAACCATAAAATAACTTATAAAATAAAATTACTCAGCCTGTTTATTAAACTTACATTTCCGACTCTCGAAGATCCTCAAGGATTTCCTCAAAATGCATTTTGTTTGGCTTCTTCATTTCCTTTTCCAACATTTGGCCATATGGTCCCCGTAATGGTCGTTTGGAGTATCTTTTGAAGTCGTAATCACCCGGTATGGGGCTGGGACTGGCACGATCGCGAGAAGTACCCGCTCCTCGATCACTCTCGTTGTCAGACACCGAGTCTGTGCGTAGAAAAGGAAAACTTTTATTGCTACGCGAAAGGCTACACATTGTAATATCGCCACTACCTCCGCTAACATTTATTCCGTGGGCGTCATCCTTTTCCTCAGAGCTTTGCAGGCTAAAGCTAGTAAGCCGATCTGCTTTGGTCCATACTAACGGCTTGTCGGTCTCTGGTGTGCTTATTTCGGGCGAATACAAAGAGCCCGGTGTTCTATTGTCATCAGTGGGTGGACTATTTATATACATCATACCACATTCTTCTGTTGCATCCGGTTTGATCGCATTAAAGTTGGCTAGCGAAATGTCTAATGCCAAGCCTCTGTTATGTGCTTCTACATTCGCTGCCTCACTCCAGGCAGCATTATCAATATACATTCCTTTACGACGCTTGGACTTATCAATACGTTTGCGTTCGTCTGCACTATGTCGAGTGGTGATTGCATCTAATGATGCTCGTTTCTCCATGCCGACATCTATATCGTCGTGGCTGTATCTCTTGCTAAGCTCAGCAGTATCAATAGAAGCTTGACGTCGTTCCATGGGGTCACTGAACTCTTCATCAAATGTATCTTTTCTTCGCAAAATACACTTTTCATCGGCCTCCTCCGAAGACCGGCTCACTGAAATAGTTGGCAAATTTTCCACTCGATACTCCTGTGCAGTTTTTGGTACGGGCTTCACATTTACACAATCACTTAGTGATAGGAGCGGTTCTATGGTTTCCGGAATTATACCAAATTCTTCAGGTTGTACTTCTACCCACTCTTGTGGGGGATTTTCTAAACCCCAATCCTGCGCAGCACACTCGAACACTGGCACCGGAATAAGACAAGTGGTCGCGGTTTGCAGGAAATTATCAGGAGGCGATTCCAATGGAATTCTTTCCTCCATTAAAGTTGCGACATTCGGTTCCATAGCATCAGCATTAATTGGCTCTAATATAGTCGGTTGCTGGAGAATTTTTACCTTTTCAACTGCACCCTTTTCCGCGTCTACAACAGCAGGTACCGGTTCAATAGAAACAGCAACTTCCTCCTGCTCGATTGCGTAGTCATTTTCAGACTGTATTGTATCCGTTAGCGATTCCATTTTGGCATGCGCTATTACAAGATTGTGTTTGAGTATCATTTCCTTGCAGTCTTCGGTAATACTCCCTGCATGCTCCAAATCTGTATTGAATATGTCTTCTTCGGGTATGGTGTCTGGCGACTCAATAACATTTTCCAAACTACTCATATCTTGACCGTAATTCAAATTAATACTCATTTCGGCTTTCTTCTTTAACGGAATGTAAATCCAATCTGGTTCGGACTTCACTTTCCCTTCGACTCCCACTGCAGGAGACCAAGCTTCCGTCGTTTGCTCACCACTCGCTTTCTTCGTGTGGGTTGTTGAATCGACAGAGCCAACAACTTTGTCTCGCCACAAACGATCACGCAATGCACTCCACGAAGATTTTTTGTATTTCCCAGACGAAAGGTCAATTTGAGAAAATGATGCCGATCGAAATGGTATGCCCTTTTGGGTGTACGAACCGATTACCGTGCGCGATTCTGGTCTCGTCAGTTTGGTAGCTATGTCCGAACTGTCGGCCAGCTGTGCAACGCCAACATTTACAGAGCTACTGGCGCCGATATTAGCAGAGGATTTTGGAGGCGGCGACTTTGATTTCTCTCTACTCATCAACATTAACGACTCGAAATTCGACAGACTCGTATTTGGCTTGAGTGTATCGCGAAGAAGATTTGTTTGCGCTATTGAGTGTTCTCTGTTTTCTGCTTTTCCAACTGTTGTGCAAGCATTGCTTTTACCACAAACGTTGTTGGATTGCTTAGCAAAATCGTTATCATTTGATTGTTTTGTATTAACATTTGGCTTTACATGTAAGTCAGTCACCTTCTCTTCATGATCCATTAACATAATATCATCAATACGACTCGACATGAACGAGTTTGACTGTCCTGCTCCATCAAAGGAGGAAGACCCGGCTGGCACTTGCACTTGTGTGTCGGCACGCTCTAAACTATTGGACGCCGAATGAGATCCACTGCGTGGCTTACGTGGTGGCGGTATAGGCGGTGGAGTCGGGGATGATCTATTACCACGCAACAATTCCGTCAGTTCCCTTAATTTTTCTGATTTTTCATTTGATTTGCGATTTCGCGACGAACCACTGCTCTCTGTTGAAGCGCTGCTCGAAGCAGGAGTCGACTTTCGGCCAAAACCTAAACGTTGGAAACGATCCAAAGTATTCCTACGCTTCTCCATATTAATCTAGAATGAAAAATAAACAAAATTTTATTATTGCACACAATGAACATTTCATCATAACAATTCGGCGCGATCTTCTCTCCCTTTCCATTGAGCACTTGACTGTTTAATAAACATTTGCGTTTTTTTATTATTTTGACTCAACACACATTCAAAAACGACTTCCAAGGCCTCTTTTCTTTAAATACCACTCCCTTCCCCACTTCATGGAGGATTTATCGGCGAAAATCCGAAGTAGAAGCAAAATTTTTCATAGCAAAATGTCTCGAGCAGAGAAAAAGACACTAAAACTTATAGATACTACATATTCAGTATGTGCATACATTCAAAATGTACATACATATGTACATATGTAAATATATACATACATATATATTTAAATTTGTGCAAGTCCGTTTTCTCATTTTATTTGCTTTGGAAAACAATTTTCATAGGCGGCTTTTTCTCTATGCCTTACTCATGCCGTTTTCACACAAACAGAAAATGTTGTCTGAATGTACATATTATAGGTACATATGTCTAATATATGTACACATAATATATATATATGAGTACGTAGATGTTTGTATATAATTTTAATTTGTTTATGTCCGATTAATTTATTTATACAAAAGCGATGGGAACTTAATAAAATCTATGCAATAATTCACTTACAACCATACATACGTACTCGTATATGCGTACATATCGGAGTAAGTACAATACATTGTGCTTTTATTAAAAAAAAAAATATTATTATAATTATTTTAATACCTCAATGTCCTTTTTTTTAACAATTTTGACCATTTTTTAAATTCATTTTATATTTACGAAAAATTCCCTAAGATGATTTTGATTGTAACGAAAGCAATTTTCCCTTTTCTCCTGAGGACATTTGCATACAAATATTTCGGTCGCTGAATTATATATGTACAATATAATTGGCCCTTTGTAACCGCCGAAGCGATTTTCGGCCGTGGTCCTCCTCCAATTTGTGGTTTTTCGTCTTGAAGTTTTTCCAGCAAATTGAGGGACCTACAGTTTATACTAAGCCGCCTCCGTGCGGCTGATGGTTTTTTTTATGAGGAGCTTTAATTCATGTCAGAAATACACTCGGAGTGGTTCATATTCCCTGCCGAGGGGCGATGTTGGTCGCACGGGAATTTGAACCCGAGCCTTCCGAATAGCAATACGCAATGCTAACCACTCGGCCGCTGAATTAGGCTGAATCTAAAAAGATGACTCAAATAACTGTATTTTTTATAAAAGAACAAGCTAAAATTTGGCTAAGAGATTTAATAGTCTAGGATCGTACAACTTATGAGAGCTTGGTTAGGGATAACTCTCATTAAAAAGTTTTCGGAATATCAACTTCACAACACACTAATTTGACAAAGATAATTTCACTTTTTTATAAATAAACATGTAGAAGTATTTAGCAATAAATGTATTACTTTGAAAATGTTTCGGATATTCGAACGACACATCGAGAACACAACCCAAGCATCTAAGAGCTTCGCAATTGAAAGACGCACGAGTGGAAGAAGTATCAAAGCTAGACAATTTACAAAAAACGTGGACGTCCTGTATGTATGATGATCAGATCACTATACCTCAAATTAGGTTGAACCTCTATCAGAAAATTCCGGTAGATGTCACTATCGAAGCTGCAATTTTTTTGACATTTGACAAATGAAAGCTACGCACTAATAAAAACGGAACGATACACGCTTCACCAACGCAATGAAATTATTCAAATTCACTATAAAAGTGATGAAACACTTTTCGGCAGTCGTGAACCTTGTCGGATCGCTATATAGAAATTCGTGGAAAAATGGAGCTGAAGAAAAACAAAGAATATTGCTGCTGTAACTAAAAGTGATGAAGACGAAGCCCAGGTTTTGATCATTCGTCGTCGTTCAATGGAATCGGGCATTCCACAAATGTCTGCAAGCTTCGTGATTTATAAAGCGCTCTCATAAGATTTATTGTATCAGCTGATTCGTTATGTTTTTGGCTGGTTCGGTTATAAATAGTACGATAGTAAATCTAAGCGTGAGAGATGCGCAACGAACGCAACGATATCATTTTCTTTCGCTAGCAATAAACGAAATGTAATCGTTTCGTTTCGTCACCATGCCATCAAAACGAAATGAGATCGTTAACGTTAAAATCATACAATACGCATCTTTAACGTTCATTTTAAAATGTCTGATTTAACAGCAACAACATTAACGAAAGATTTTTATTTGGGGTAAAAACCAAAAGAAACTTATTTTGATAACTGCTTTAACGTTAAATTTTCTTTATGTTTCAACCGAAACGATAAAAATGTTTCTATTAATGTGATGTACGAGGGGATTAAACAAAAATTCAGTCATTGAATTTTCTTCGGGGTTCGGTGTAATTTACAGCTAATATAAATATCCAATGAATGCCAATTTGCATATGGAACGATTCCACCGTCTTTCAATACTATTTCTTAGAGGTTCCGAAGATTCCATACTCTTTCCATAGAGAACGAGCCCCGAGAAGATTGATCGAAATCCTCTACTGATGACGTCACTTTAGCTCTAGTTGAAGTCCTAAATTGGCAAAGACCCACGATTGACACAAGGAATGATTGTTAATGAATTGGGCTTGAATGCCATGGCTGTATCGCTAATGTTAAGTTATCATCTGGGATACACGAAGAAATCAGCTTGATGGATACCACGAATTTTAAATGAGGCCCAAAAAGAGGCTCCAGCACATTTTGCTCAATTTTTCCTTAAAAAACTCGAGAATGATCAGTCTAGCAACTTTAGTAAAGTCTTTACTGGTGACGCATCCTAGTTCTATAAGTACGATCCAGAAACCAAACAGCAGTTCATGGTATGGAGCCCAACAGGAGTAAGCCCACCCATAAAATCTAAGTCACAAAAATCAGCAGCAAAAGTAATGAAGTCAGTTTACTTCACCCGATCTAAAGTCGTAGGTGCGGTCTAGCGGTAACTACAAAATCGCCCAACGAAGAGTGTCTACCAAAGGTTTTCAAAAATTTGTTGGAAAACACAAAGAGAGAGAATTTGCGACACCACTTTTAACATCATGACAACGCGCTGCTGAAATAACGAGAAATTTTGTTGCGAAAGAAATACATCCAGCGCCTTGTGATTTCTGGTTATTTCCAAAAATAAAAATACAAATTTAACTGGAATGGTCTTTAATAGCAACGAGGAGATAATTAATGTGGTTAATGCTCAACTTGATAGCTTAAAAAGCAAGATTTTGAGGATTGTTTTCAGAAGTGGAAAGGTAGGCGAATTTCTAGTCAACTTACTAAACTTTTGTTAATCCCCTCGTATATGGGGCCAGTGTACGTAGTGAGTTTTTTACAGGCAGGTTCCTCAAATATTGGATGTTCGTTGAAAGATAGTTCCGAAGTCAGTGGTCTAAAAGGGTCTAATAGGGAATATATATTACGAGATTCAGTTGATTTGTGTCTAAACAATCAACTCAGATGCGAAGTCAGAAATAGGAATACCGTCACTCGGGGTATAGTCGCAAAAAAACCAAGATTCTTGACATTTAACTACAAACGTTCTCAGAAGACTACATAAAATATTTGTATGTACGAAAAATAACTGTTTAAACCCAAAAGATAGCACTGTGTCATTCGCGTTTTTTTTATTCCAACCGGATCGTAAAAGAATATTCAGTTTATGATACAAATTCTTGTACCCTTCAAATGTACCATAATTGGAAGGTAAGCGTGATTGGGTGGACTAGGTTTATTCAAAATCGAATGAAAACAAAAATCTAACTTTTCATGGAAACTCAATAGATCTTTCGCTTGAAATTATACATTTGATGAGTTACCTAAAAGTCCTGAACAGTTTTTTTTTTATCGTTTAGGCCTACAACGTTTTTCCATTGTATGACGTCGCTTTTCATTACAAATACAGCAGTATTTTTAGCATAAATAAAGAAAAATTTATGTGTGTTGTGAAATGTTACGTTCTGATCGGCGCTAAATTGTCGGCCGCCAAGTCTTTTTTGAAACACCGAAGAGGAACTTTCAGATGAACGAATATTTAATATTTGTTAGAGCAACGAAACATTAACAAATGCGAAATCATATATATATATATATATATATACATATATATACATATATATACATATATATATATACATATTTATATACATACGAGTTAAGGTAGACATAAGGATGAATGTACAATATAATACAAGTATGCAATTATGTATGTACGCGTATTAGAATACATAACACACATTCATACATATGTATGTATATTTAGTGATTTCTCATGGATTTTCATTTGCGTTCTTCTTTGGCCATTTTTAGCAAATTTTCTTTTCTTGAAGCTTTGTCAATTTCTTAGTTATTATCTGTCTTCTTAATTGTTTTGTTTCAATTTTGTTTCAATGTTGTTTCCTTTTCTTTATATAGGAATTGACTTAAATATGTATTGATGTGTAAATTAATATTTGTACATATGGTGTATGTAATTGTGTTTATGTATTTTTGCGTCAGTACGCAGTGGGTTATTCACGACCAAAATTACTCAGCAGATGCTATTGAATTTTACATATACGAATATACATACATACATACTTTATACATCTATGCTTGTAAGTTTGCATTCATATTAGGTAAAAAACCCCTAAAAGCTCATTTAGCAATACCTACATACATACAACCGTAGGTGAACAGTCATTTGGGCAACGGGTAACTCGAATAAAAATGGAGATATCTTATGCGGCTTGGAAAACATAATCCTTGGAACTCGAAGTACTGCCAACTATCCTAAAACTACTAAATGATCATTTGCGGAATTCGGGTTGCAAGGCAAACCGGTGAAAACTCATACTTTGGGCATTTAATGTTACGCAAAACAAATACGAGAACTTATTTGAGATCTACTTTGTGAGCCTTTGAACTTCCACCACCTTTGAGAACCAACCCAGCCAACAAACGCTCTACTTCCCCAATTTAGGCATATACAGGGTTCTCTAAC